AAGACATGAGAAGGTTTGGCTCCACATTTTTTTAATTTTAATGTTTGTGAATTATCTAATAAAAAAGCATTGGTTTTCTCCAATTAATTTCACGCATGTAACTAATATGTAAGGGATCTAAATTTTCTCCAATTAATCCTTCTAATAATGCATTCTTTAAATTCAGAGTCATAATACAAATGTCGGATGTACACAATTATCCTTCATTTATTTATATCGCCTAAATCCGGGTTTTTTATGACTAAAAAGGCTCTAACTCAATATGTAAAACTTTATACGCTGCCCTGATTTAACTATTGAACAAATTTATGCGGACTTACCATATATTTGTAATAGTGATCCTAACATATGTATATTTTAGAAATTTATTGATGTAATAAAAATATGTTTTAAATGTCCTGACTTCAAATCTTGACAATTTTTTTTGGTCAAACTATGAAAAATTTATCTCTCGTGAATATCTTAGTCCCGGCGTGAATAATATGTATTTAACCGGACCAAAGAAGGGATTAGTCGAGGTGAACGTAAGTTGGCTCGAACACCCCTGATCATTAAATTAAAAAAAAAAATGTTATTTTTGGTTTCTGATTAGGTCAACTATGGCAGCATATTCATCTCCTTCAGCCAATTTAAATGACATAAAGAAAGAGTCGACAACGTATAGCTCCATGTTGAAGTCTTTAACCTGTATCCTATATTATTTGATATGAGGTTTTTTTACATTTTATTTTTTGGGTAAGTACTAAATAGTATAAGGTTGTAGGTGATGAAATTGATTTTAAGATTATTAACTTTTATTTTATTTTTCATCGTGGCCACGATGGCATATTGTTTATGTCTCTTCTTCTAAAAAAGAATGTCTACTTGATTATAATTTATCATTAATAATACAAATAAGAATATACTAACACAAGGTGAGGATAAATTATAGGAATTCAAGGTCAACCTTTGGTTTGTATGCTTCAAATGGGGTTAATAAGTCATCAAGTTGGCTTAGAACATGTTTTAAGATAAGAATAGCAGTTTTCCGCACGGCATGAAGTCAATACTAAATCAATACTACTTGGGATTGATGATTAGTTCACATGAATCAAAAATAGCATGACTCATTCTTTTTTTTTTTTTTTTTCAATGATCAGGAGTGTTCATAATCATCTCCCTAATCCGGTCAAAACTAGATCATTCACACCGAAACTAGGGTATTCAATAGGGATAAATTTCTTCTAGCCCTAAGAGATTGTAAATATTCGAACTCATAATATTTGAGTTTACAGTTCACTTCTATTACTACTTAAGTTACCCTTCTGGTTAATAACACGGCACACTCATGCGAATAAAATATGGGATTCAACCATCCTCCTTTAAGACCAGCCTAGGATTACTAATCCTAGGGTTGAATTAAGCAAATCTCTAACTTTTGGGTCCAAATCCTTTCTAGTCAAATCTAATTGTGAAGCCCTAAATTTGGACTAGACAATGGATTCTAATTTAATCCATACAGATGGTAATAGTTGGTCTAAACATTTATCCTATTCTAGCTATTTCATGTTTGGATCAAGCTTTGAATAAGTTGTAAATTCATTGTTTGATAACTATCTCATGTTGGGACCGAGGAGAAAAAAATCACCATATATAATGATATGAATCTTTGTGTCTCCTTCAATACTCTATTAATGCTGGTTTGTGCCAAGTGTGTGGTTTAACATAGCATTGCCCTTTCTTATGGTCCAAACTTGGTAGCAAGCAATTATCCGAATAGTTTAATCAAATCCCTCTACCTAATTCTTGAACCAAGCACCATGAGGGAAGAAGGGGTTACTAAGTTGTAAGGATAAAAGATATCTTTGTACGAAATGGATCATCTCTCATAATTACACATGTGGGATTAGATATTATTTAGAGGGGGTGAATAAGTTAATTTCAATTTTGATTAAACAAAACATCAATTTATAACCTAACTTACCACAATTGTCTCGTTCTTAAAATAATTTAGCGATTAACGATTTGAAAACCCCTTAACAATAACAACCCTAACCATGATGATTGGTGTAATGAATTAGTAAATTTTACCGATTAATACTCAATCCTTCAAAGTGATCCCACCTAAGGCAACAACTCATTATCAAACCACTATGAATGTATTGATAAATCAAACAATCATAACATCAAATACAAAGTGCGTGTGTGCACTACATGTCACAAGTGTGTAATAAAGAACACATGAGATTTGTTGACACAAAAACCCTCATTAGAAAAAACCACTGAGAACTACTCAGAGTTCATTAAAGTCTAATCTACTATCTCACAATCAATCTATAAGTACTCAAATTTTATACCTCAACCAATATAAACATTTTTTTTCCTTCAATAGATCTCTCCGTTAGATACACCCACTGATATCGTGAATAACTTCGCTTGAACTCGTCGCTACATAGTTCGTTTAGACCTCGAGCACTTCTAGGACGCAACAAAGAATCTTGTTATGCATATTCTTCAAGTAGATTTGGTAAAACCAAGTATTTATTTCTTCTCCAGTGTGTGATTTTCGATATGAATCACAAGATGGGTTTTGGCCTTTCAATTTAGGGATTTAAAATTGCTTAATTGTCTCTCAAGGTTTATAGCCAAGAAAATTAGCTCACAATAAGAATTTCTTAAAGATATCCTAACTAGAAGATACTCCCTCTATTTATAGGCTCAGAAAAGAATTCGTCTTGGAACCCAAAAAAACACAAATCAACGAATGACCGCTTGAATAATAGGAGAGTAATGGGAGGGCCATGGCTTCTAAAATGAAAAAAGAATTCAAACCAAAGCAGTAAAACAAGAACTACTCGAGCGATCTCATGAACGCTCAAATCCCCTCAAGACTACTCGAGCGGCCTAAGAGTGACCCATAGGACAATCTCCACTGCCTTGTCGTTCAATTTTTTTTTAACTTTAGCCCTAAGGGGCTGTTTGATTGATTTTTTGGGAGGAGTTTGGATTGGCTTGTCCAAACCCAAAGATGGGATTCAACATTGAATACCGTTCATACTCATGTTTGATACGTGTACGGATATATGACTATTATAATAATATATTTATATATAAATAACTATTGTTCCCCTTAATCAATTTAATCCAAACTCATGTTTGTTTACGTACATGGGATATATGGGGGTATAAATGTCATTTGCATGTTCAACCCTTTAACCCACATATCAAAACCCACCCCCACCGGGTTTCATGAAACCCATGAACTTGGGTTTTATTTTTGGGTCTAAAGTGAGCTAGATTTCAAACCTTGGGCTAGCTATGTATTTTCCAAACATGTGTTTGATGAAGTTTGTTCCCCAACTCATGTTCCAAACCCCACCCCATCCCCCCAAATCCACATACCAAACAGGTCTTAAGTGTTTAGAGACTATTATAGTGAAGGCTAGCGAATATATGAAGGTTCCTACTAGTTTTTAAGCTATAAATCAAGTAAAAATTTGTCCCATTGAGCACCAAAATGTGTTACCCAAGTATGGTCCGATTAATAGTTCAAATCTATATTTTCACAACATAATTAAATTTTAAAATATTTTTTTTTGTAAAACACCTAGGAGTCGGTAGAAGATCCATCATTGATTCTATTTTACCTGATCAACCTAAGTCTAATAAATTAAACTAAAGGTGCTAAAGTCTCTTGATCATTACTTTTATCCTAAGTAAGAAATTACATATTGATAGCCTTTCAATTTAGTTTGAAGCACAATTTCTTCCCTTCTATTTACGCTTTCAAATTTTCAACGTTGTAGCATCATGACAAATAGAATAAGTTGAGATTTACAAAAAATCTTCATGAAAATAACCAATTACAAATATGATCCTAACATAAGTCTTACACGTGTATACTATAGTTATTGGATGGTAACATCATAGATCACTAATGATGTGGCATCCCCGTAACATGAAACATTTACTCATAACAAAGTGTTGGGTTCAACTGGCCTTCTATCAGACATTTCTCTCTTCTAGACTAACAGATTGGACGATTGGTTTTGATCCAACAAATCATTTTTATTTTTGAAGCAACATTAGCCCTACTTACGGAAAAACTTTAGGCCCATATTATTTCTGCTTGGATCCAAATTAGGCCCATTTGAATGTCTAACCACAGATAAGGCTCTACCTAAACCAAACAGATGTTTGATTTAGACACTTTTTTTAAAATTTATTTGACTTTAAATACCACACTTAAATTTATATTCTATTAAATCATATTTTTCATTAAATTATTGTCATCATGTAAATATTTCAAATTCTTTTTTTTTTGTATTACTTAATTACCCCTAATACTGTCTATCATTGTTAGTTTCAATATTTTTAAATATAACAACTTTAACTTGAGAATTGTGATATATATATAACATTAAACAGTAACATGCTCAACAAAAAAATAGTAATATCAAACAGTAACATGCTTAATAAAAAAATTAATTAAAATTTTAATCATTGCAATAGAATAAATAATTTTAATGATAGCACAATTCCTAAGTTAATAGTTGTTATACTTTTCTCAATTTAAGAGTTGTTAGCTTTTTCAAACAAAATTTGATTAAATATAACTATTAAAAGTATTTTGGATAATAAAAATTAAGATACGCTTTTCCCCAAATAATTTTTTTGAATAAACTTAAATTCAAATAAGTCTACACAAAAAAAAAAAAAAAACCAACCTCAGACCCTAAATCAAATTCCCAGAGAGTTGGGCCCATCTTGTTCATAGGAAATTCACTTTTTCTTAACTTAATACAAATTGTCCTCTTACAATTAGAAAATTGACACTACTATTGTCACTTGTCTAATGATGAGGTGTTAAAAGCATCCAACCACAAACAATTAGACTTACCCCCTTTAATCGGATCACACAAAAAAGAAAAACAGTTAAAAACTAATCAAAATACGCGTCAATTAACCCCACCACCCCCGACCGTTGCACTAAAAAAAAATATCTAACTATTCCCAAGATACTAGCTGTACGTATTTTTTGGAGTCATCAGAGTCTAAGCACAAATTCAATCTCATATTACAAACCTAGTCGAATCTAACCGAACCTGAGCATATGATCCAAAAACCGAGCCAAGCTCGAACTGAGATGAACACATAATAGTCAGTTCAAGCCAAAACCTTAGACCAAGCACAGTAAAATTCGAATGTTCAGCTTGATTAACATCCTACCTACAGATTGGAGAATAAATCAGGCTGGCGCAACAAATGTAAACATCACGCATGACTCTAATTGGACTTGCAAACTCTAGTTCAGAACATCCACTAGTGATCAACCTCCAGAAAAACTTCAAACTCCTATCATAATAAACAGAAGCTCCACCAACCTACCACTCAACAATTTACAGAACCTGAGAACCAAGATGGATACAAAGAAATAGTTCAAATTAAATTTTTTTTTTTTTTTAAGTATGCTTGTCCCCTTCAATGCCTGCAGCAGCTCTCGCTATGAACTGTTTGGTGTAAACACGGTGTCGTCGCTCTCTCCCAAATATAACCCAGAAAAGAAGAGAAAGCATAACTGCAGTCGAAACCATTACCAGCCCAACGTAAATCCATTTGCTGTACCGCCTTAGACCAGGACAATAGATCCTATATATGTCGGTGAAAGTTTGTCTCACAAAATTGCAGTCTTCTACATCTACCAGGAATGGACCATAATGATACAACCCATAGCTCACATTCAAACCCGCAGCCATCTGGTTGTAGATTGCGGGAGTCAACCGCCCTGTCGTGACACAAATGCCACTGGCCGAAACTTGACAGACATAGTTACTCCATACCTGCAAAAACATATAGAAATTCAGAGTGTCTCAAGTTTTCTTTAGATTTGGAGTACCCATCACACCAATAAGAAACCATATACATTGAAAACGTGTTTACAAAAATCAAATAATTTCACGAGTGCTAATAGACAAGATCCAAAGCCTGTAAAACATTTTTGAAACTCATCTTTTTTCAAATCTATCATTGTCCACAGTTTGGATTTGTGGAAGCTTAGAAACATGATCCTTAATACAATATGAAGAGTTGGGTATGCAGTCCTTGACCATCAAATTCTCACTCTCAACATTTTCTCATTTATGTATTATATATGACGTTGTAATGTTTTCTCAAATACCTGTGTTGCATTGCTCAAATCCACCTCACCAGCAGTACATGCTCGATCTGTCAAATCATGATTAACTGGATTGCAAAGAATTGGAAGCAATGGACCAGACTGATTGTAGTACATAGGTGCGAAGTTCGGGGAAAAATTGATGTTAGAGACATTGGTGATGACCTGGTTAATCACATCGACAAGCTGAGAAGTGACTTCCCTGGTTCTTGACAAGGTCTCCTGTGCAGTGGCATTGTCCACACAAGGCAGGATATCATCTAAAGCTGTGTGAGCAGTTGGGTTTTGAACCCACTGATCCATTGCTACACAGGTGTCTCCAGTCGCACTATAATGTCAAATGAAGAACAATTAAATTAAGAGATAAAAAAAACTATAAGACATTCGGAAATTAAATTTTGGGGGATGAACAAGGAAATATTAGTAGAGAAGTTGGGAGGGGTGAGGGTAGGCATCTAATAGACACTCCAAGGAACTTTGGTGAGTGACGACACCAGATTAATTTCAAAAGGATGTCTTCCACACAGAAACCGAGCGACTTCCAGGTAATTTCAACCAAACACTTCTCTATCAACGACCAAAATAGTTGATAGAGAGAAACATCTGTAGATTGCCCTTTTCAGATGCAGTAGGTAAGTGCAAATAGTTAAAACAGCAATGAGATTGCCTGAAACATCTAGAATAAAAAGGGAAATTTTAAAAATATTTCTCAGTGTATAGAATGATAGACAGTTACAAAACAAAATGAATTTAGTGGTGCCATTTACAAAGTGGCATTCCTTGAGCCATGTTTGGCCTTTTCAGCTGCCTGTTTTAGGCCCGGCTTTACTATTGTTCTTATAGACATTCACTTGGAAAAGTTAACTAATTGGTAAATACGAGCCTGCATGGGCGCATGGCACGTCTCACACCTGATGCTGAAAGACGCCAATAAAGGACCATGTGGATGAGAGGGAGGATAGGACTCTTGCAATGCTGAAAAGGACAACAATCAAAAGCAACTAAGAGTTCTCACTCTCTCTCTCTCTCACACACACACACATACACACAGATTTGCATCAAAAGCCATAGAGATTTGATTGTTGTTTCTCCTTTGCATTCTATTTCTATAGGATCATTCAGACATTCAAAGCTGTCTTTGCAAAGCATCTGACTCTACGACAAAAACGGTGTAATCTATAGCGCAAAGTAGCCTAGCAAAAAGGAAAGGAACCAAATTATGAAATGGTGAATGGTAGAAGAGGAATAGTATATTAGAACTTACTTATGGAGGAGAAGAAATATGCCACACAAAATAAATGTTACTGTCACTAGAATCCACCCACTGATCACCAAGCTGCAACAATTTAACAAGATTACTAGAGAAATGATTGTGGACGTACATTGACTACAAAAGCCAGAACAAAGAAGATTAAAACGGAAACAAGCTTCTGTAAGATAACTGTCTGACTCACATGTACACAAGAAACTGCATGCCGAAAATTGAAAATACTGGAGCAGAAAATGAAATAATAGTGAGCAAAGATGTTAAAACATTCTGTTAACGCAAAAAGTTTGGCATCAAAATTGAGGAAATTATAGGAGCTTACCAAATCCAAGAAATGTCAACAGAAGCATAACAGCAGAAAGTATGATTAGAGCCAATCTCCTGTAAGCACATTAAGATATTAATACAATGTATAAAAAGAAGTTATGAAAACACAGATTTGCATACAGAAATTCTAGATGTTGGTCACTTACACAGAATCTATGAGATGTTGTATGTTTTCTTTATTGTCAGCAGTTCGAGTGGAAAGGGTAGTAGCAGAAGAGGTGAGCTTGGTTTGAATCTCATCAATGTCAGTTTGCACGTTTGAAGGTAAGAAAACTTGATCCACTCCAGTCTGCTTGGCTGCAGCAAGATACTCGGAGACATTCCTAAGATTCTCAGCAGTTATATTTGCTTGATGTACAACATATTCCAAAGTATTCACTGTACTACTGTGAAACTTCCCCTGACCAGTGTACAAAACAACACATCCAATGCTGAAAACCACAAGAACATATTAATTTGGCACTGAAATATCACCTTCAGAAAGAAAGAGATATATCTAATAACACACACACACACACATATTTATATACAGAGAGAGAGAGGGGGGGATAATACATTGCAGCAATGGTGAAAAGTATGAGTAAAATAAGAGAGAGAGCATAAGCTGTTCGAGAATAGCCATAAGGCTCCCTTGGACAACAACAGTAGCAGAGACAGATGAGTGACAAGCACAGGCCAAATACCACGAACCAGATTGCCGCAATAACAAAGAGGGGAGCAGCAGTAAAACCCACAGACTGCATCCAAATAAATTTTGATATGAGAAGAGGAGTTGAACGAAAAAAACATCTTAGACTAGCGAGATAAACCGGAAACCAAATTAAACAGAGGTGATGTTATCTAAGAGCCACTACAACTCGAGTAAATAATCAGTACAAAGATTTGATATTTTCACCAGGAAAAAAAAAAGGATTTTCATTCACTGAATCACCAAGAAGTCGGCAACACAAATATAAAAAAAAATTAACATTCAACATTACGGCTCTTACTGCACAGGGACTAGAGGAATTCTAACTTTGAGAAAATAATTGCTCAAGCACCGGAGGAAATCAGATCTAGGAGACTTATGTCTCAACTCTTTTGGTCTTTATTGTGTACCTAGTGCATTCTTCCCTATTTCTCCCTCCCCCTGCCCAACCTTGCATTTGGAGCCCTTTAGATTAGTATAAATTATTTACGAGATGTGATAAATAACCAAGGGTTGGGATGAATAAATTACTTATGTAATGTGATGAACAATAAATTACAGGATTTCACAGCTATAACAACGCATCCCTCACAGAACACAAAAACTGAATGACTCCGGCTAACCTACGTACATTATTAATGATCCTCAGTTCCTCATGTTAAATATGACCAAAATCGCTTGATTGTTGGGGATGATAAGCTTAATATGCAAGTAGGATTATACTATTGTTCCACATTAAGGAATTGCATCCTCTAAGAGTATTATGCATCTAATATATGATAGGTGAAGTAATTTATATTAAGATCGCGTAGCAGAACAACTGAACCACTTTCATTTCACAAATCAATTATTAAGCAGCATGCTATGTAATCATTCTTTTCTTTAGATTATATTTGAGTCTGAACATTCCAAGGGAACCACAACCCAAGTGATCAAACTTGCCTCTCATTTGTTAGGAGAAAAATCACCAATTTTGAAAACTAAATTAGATCGGACCTTAGCATGACCATGAGAGACATTTTACTCTAACTAACTAGTGGTGCTCCACAAGAAACATTTAGCAGTATGACTCCAAACTGTAACTTTCTAGGGACAAACTACGAAAACCATGTATCTGGCAAAAGGGAAAGCTATAGAACGGATAGGAATAAACTAAGCAATTAGAACCATTTCTACAGTTTGAACTTGAAAAATGGAACTTTTGCCTTCAGTTCTTGTCCTTATAGCCCAAATTCATCCTTGTCATTAGATGGAATTGCCATGTAATATAAATATATTACCCACATTATAAAACTATTATTGCGATGCTACCAGAATCGTTCACATTATGAATTAGAAAATGCCGCAGGGGTATAATTTGCTTTGGAAAACATTCATGATGTTTAAATTATTATAATCATTCCATACCAAAGATAGGTACTTTTTTTATGAAGTTTCCTATACAAGTCCAAAAAAATGTTAGTCATATCTTTAAGTGCTAGTCATATTCATATATCCAGCTCAGTCAATCAACCCCAACTCTCTCTCTCTCTCTCTCTCTCTCTCTCTCTCTCTCTCTCTCTGGTCCTGTTAAGGCTGCACTCCAGGTCATGACCCAAGGAGTATAAGTCCTTACCAATTGAACAGTCCCTTGGCCCCGCCCCCAACTTAAATCTCTCACTGCTTACTCCAAACTTTAACCAACATCAATTGTCCAGTTTATCATGTTGCTGTCCATCAAATTAGGCCTAATGTAACACTATTAAACGGCAAAGAAATCCAACAAATACAGATAATCAAATAATTTTCACCACGAATGACCCAATTAACTGGTTTCAATTAGCCTAACTAGGAAATTTTCTCGACAATAGTCCTAGAAACCTATGACAAAATCTGGGCATTTATCAATTTTGGAGGAATAAGGTAGAGAGAAAGAGTTTATTACTATCGTGTAGCACATCTCCTTTGAAAAGAATAATCAAACATATGGTTACCGTCCTGGTGTATTTTACCAGAGATAGGTGATTTTCAAAACATGGAGATAAATTTCTGCAAATAAGAGATACTAAAAAACTTACAGCCCAGTAATGGCGCTCACTAATGTTCCAACCTCCGGTATATTTCTTTAAATCATCTAGAGGATCTTTTCTATATGTCCTTTTGGCTGCCAACACAAGAGATGAATTCAAAACAGGTTCATCATTGGGTCCTTCAGCAAGCACCCTTTTGGTCCCCCTAGAAATCAGATAATTTCCTTCAATAGCTTTCCCTGAAAATCAAAAAGCGAACCCAGTAACAAAACCATCCATCCAAACAGAAGTAAACTGGTGTCAAAAGAAAATATTTGGGGGAAAACCACAGAACCCAAGAAGAGAAAGTAGAGTACCTGAAAAGTGTGTTGCTTGGATGGTGGGAAAATGAGACACTCCCCGGCAGAAGGTAAAGAAAGTTAAAGAGAAGAAGAGAATGGTAGTTAGAATAGAAAATGGCAATAATCGGTAACACGGCATCGTGATTCTAACTTTTCCTGTTCAATGGGTTGTCTTTGTTGAGGTTCTGAGGGATATATAAGCTTCCCGGTCCTGCACACAAAGGAAGAGAGAGATTTGTTGGGACTTAGTACAAGGTTTGTCCCTTGCACACATACACCCACACTAGAACAGGGATATCAACCACTCCAGCCAGATATCTAGAGTGTGTGTGTGTGTGAGAGAGAGCGAGAGACAGAGAGAGAGCGAGACACAGAGGTGTCGTGGGCTTTAACAGTTCAAGGAAAGAAGCGTAGTGAGCCATGAGTGGGGAGAGGATCTTCTCTGCCCCTATCATTTTTTTGTGTTTTCTTCTTGGATTAAATAACACTTGATACCCCACAAAATTGTTGTATTCTTAATTTATATCTTAAAATATTAAAACTCTCATACTACATCCCCTATCAAACAAAAAGGTAGAAATTTTTTTTGTTAAAAGCACTTAACATTAAGTATTATAAAAATAAATATATATGAACATATGATAATATAAAAAATTTAACAAAAATTATTTGTCAAAAAATTATTGAGTACTAATTTTTTTTGTTAAAATCACTTAACATTAAGTATTATAAAAATAAAATAATTTTTCAAAAAATGGAAAAAAAAAAACATTTTAATTCTGAGAATGTAGTATGAGAATTTTAATTTTTTAAAATGCAAATAAAGAATTTAAAATTTTAATTTTAAAGAGTACAAAGCATAATTTACCATTTCTTTGATTGGTCAGTATGCAACCCATCTGTCTGCGCCGCTCTGTGTCGGCAATTTTTGAGTTACCAAAATACCCTCAAGAACTACGTATTATATTACTACTGCAATTATGAATTAAAATTGATTAAAAGATGTGATAAAAAGAACAGGTACTAAATGGTATTATAATAATAATATTTTTTTATCTTATTTTTATTTATTTAAAATTAATATTTACTTACTGTACCAGTTGCCACATCATTTAAACTATACTGTTAGTCTCTCTTTTTTTTTAATCGGTGTAACATTACTCTAAAAAAATGTCTTTGTAATCAATGGTGTTTGAAAGTTTCAATTGAAGGTTTTTTTTTCCAAGTAATCAATGGGGTATTGACTGCTAACAATTGTGTCCTTATGTAATTCATGTCTTAATCTATTATTGTGATGGGAGTCACTAGGAGTCTCATTTAAGTTTAAAATATACTACCATTCCATAAACGAGTGTGAGGTGAGTGGGATTCACTGAAAAAATTAATAAGACTCATTCATCTAATAAATGATTTACATTTGAATTACAATTTTGTGGGTTTCATTTGAGTTTTATAATATTACTTATTATATTTAAGAGTTGGCTATTGTATAAAAAAAATATTTAGTATTGTAACTCTAAATTTATTACTTTAATGGGTATTTTTATAACTTTTGTGGGTTATTTATAATTAAAAAAATTATTTTTTTTATGGTTAATTTATCACTTTTGTGCAAATTTTTACCATTATTTTGAATATTTTTTATCTTTGTTGTGGTAACTATTTTTACTATTTTTCTTCGATATATAAAAAATTATTACTTTTATGGGTAATTTACCATATTTATTGGTGTTTTTATCATTTTTATCGTGATAATAAGTGAGTGAAAGGATTGTTTGACAAAATCAGTACCATAGACAACTCTTTAAATTTAAGTTTATTATGATTCCAATATGAAATTCCTTGTTAATGCAATGATACTAATAAATTAAGTCAAAAAATTATGTCCATGCAACTTTATTTACTTTCACATACGTTCTATTGGGAATTTTAGAGGGGAGCATTTTAGTTATTAATATATCGATCTACAATATTTGTACGAATTAATCTTTTTTTGGGGGGCAGGGATTTTATCTTACTAAATATGAGGTTCACATTATAGAGTAAATATTGAGTGTAACCATCAAATAAATAAAATATGACTCATTTTCTATTAGGTGATTATGTATTACATGGACCGGTGGTTTTGAGTTTTATAGATGCTCATTTACTAACTTATTTATCTATTAGTAGACGATTACACGGTAGGACACTACTAACATAGTATAATGATTACGCCTAATATTTTTTTTGTATTATAATGAGTTTTGAAATTTTTTAAATTGGCTTGGCCCGAGTCCGACTAAGGTATCAAAAGTGAAGTGAAAGGATTGTTTGAAAAAGGTTGTCATTCCAACCACCAGTAACTTGGGTGCAATTATTGCCATTAGGAACATTAAGCCTATTTTTAAGGCAACCAACACAATTCTTCACCTACAATCCCAATGTTAGAATGCTTTAAAAGGAATGCGTATTTATTAAGTGTTCATGTAACTTACGAAATATTTAAAAAATAATTTAGGAAATTTTAATTTCAAATGTTCACCTATTGTTAAAATTTGAAAATTCAATACTCATAATAAGGAAAGGAATTTACATATAGTACTATATAAGAAAATTTTATCTAATATTACAGTTAGGAAGTTAAAATTTTAAATTATAAAAATAAAACAATAGTAAAAAATGATTCAATTTTCATCTATTTCGATCAAATGGTACAAAATTTATCCCAAATTTTTTTTGTGGCTTAAAACATCATATTCTTTACACAACTTGCAATCTCAAACAACTCTATTAATTCATGCATACCCCTCTCTCTCTCTCTCTTATTTTCTCTCAATTTACTTTAATTTTAAATTATATAATTAAAACAAATTACTATAAAAATATAATGTAGTACAATTAATATACTTAATTTTTAATATTACAAAATGACTTCATGCACCGGTTATTGCTAATAGTAGAATACTAACTAAAGACTGGTACCTAAAGTGCTAATAATTGGTTAACGAATACATCGCGATTTTGAGTTCAAGAATCCAATCACTTGTTTCCTCAATTTCATTATATGCAAAAGCCTTGTACAATGTGCAGGAATTTTCATTTAATCACCATATATTCTTCAAACAATTATGTTTATGACCACACTAGATATCATGCTTCAAATAGGATAACTTTATATCACAAAAATGAAGAAAGTGTCCAAAGCTATTACAAAAAAATGCATGAATCAAAAGAAGAACAAACCCCGAATTTCATTTTTTTTAGAGAAAATACTAGATTGATAAATAAAATAAAATAAAAAGTGACCAAAACTGTAAACTAAATGATATGATAATGATGTGACATGTAAAATTTGAATTTTGAATGAGTAAAAGTGTGATAGAAAATGAATAAATCAACATAAAAACAATCCTTGCGTTTCATTTTCTATGAGAAAATACTAGATTGATAATAAAATATAACAAAAAAATACGAATTAAATGATGAATTTTAAACAAGTAAAATATAATATGCATTTATTTTTTAAACAGGATTTTTTAATTAGTTTATTTTTACTTTTTTAATAAATAATTATAAGTATATAAATGCATATTATATTTGCACCCTATAACCAATGCTCTGATGTCTTTGCTTTTGCCTTTTTTTTCTCTTTTTGTTTTTGTTCTTTTCCCTTTACTGGGTGCCCTGAACTCTGGATAATGTGTAAACAGACAACAAAGCAATAGACATGGAGGGAAAATAATGCAAAGGACAATATTTTAGTAGTAATTAAATTCAGGTTTTGGAAGAATGAGCCGTGAGCGAATCCAAATCACAACTACTTCGAGGCACAAGAGTCAATATAGGGGTCCCACAGAAAACGTGTCCGCTTTTTGCGGCTCTTTCTCCTATAAAGAGGATGCCATTGTGAGGAAAAAAATATGGAAAAATTTCAGCCCCACCCACTTTTAGAGTACGATATCTTCAAAGATATCTTTCTATTTTTTAAATATTTATTATCTTTCTATTTTTTAAATATTTACTAGCACTTAAAAATATTAACTAAAATATAATTTTATTAAATTATCCATGATATATCATAGGAAAAATTTCATTCATACCTCCTTTAGATAAGCATATCTTCGATAAGACTCATTCTATCTTTTTTAAAATTTTTACATTTTAAAATTCAAACCGATTAAAACTTGATTTGACCCAATTAAAATTTATTTTTTACGTATTAAATTTGAGTCGACTAAATATTATTATTTTTTACGTATTAAAATTTGATTTGATTAAAATTTTATTTGACCCAATTAAAAATATCTGTAATCTGCTTAAATCAAATTTTAATCAACTTCCATTGAATTTTATTTCGCACGAATTTTGAGAAATAAAAAATATAAATTTTAATCGAATCAAATTTTAATAAATCAAATTTTGACAAGTAAAAAAATATAAATTTTAATTGATTCAAAAAGAATTTTAATCGGTGCTTACAGCTCCTGTAGAGTTCAAATCGGCTTAATTTTTAATAAATAAATTTTAATAGGATTATATTTTAATACGTGAAAAAAAATTTAATCAGCTCAAATTTTAATTTATAAAAAAATAAATTTTAATCAACTCGAATTTTAATATGTAGAAAAATAAATTTTAATCGACTCGAATTTTAATCAAATTGTATGTAAAAAGATTTTTTTGGGTTTATGGAGGGACATTTTTTGTATTTTAGATGAATATTTTTTGTTATACATGGTAATTTAATGACAGGGATTGTCAGTAATGTTTAAATATAAATTAGAAGGAAATGTCAATTATGATTTTGATAATAAAATGGGTGTTCTTGAGAATATAGTAAATTAGAAAGGGTGTAGCTAAAAATTTTTCAAAAAATATTTATCACACCGGTCATACCTTGTGGTAATGCTAACATGTCACTAATCAATAATATCAAAATAAATAAGTAAATAGCTTCCAATGAAATTAATAATTAATCTTCTATTAAATAAATAACTACCAATTTTTCTTTCATGTAAGTAAATAACTATTCGAGTGAAGTTCACCTTATTAACTTAGTATTTTATTATTGATCGATAATGTTGACATGATATTACCATTATATTTAATATTTACTTGATGTGAGAGTAATGTTATTAGGACATAATTTATTGATTGACTATGGACCCTATTAAATATTAGAATTTAATGTTAATTGTAAGGGATTTATCCACGCGTTCGGGATGTCCTCCTTCCACGAAAAGATTTTGGCTGACCTGGCATAAGCGTACGCTTTGTGCCAGTAGTTTTTACCTCTCTGTCCATTGGGAGTCAGTTCCACATCGGAAGAGAGTCGTCTTCCCCCCCTGTCATATAAGTTTGGATTTCATATGGAGGAGGTACCCACTAGCACTTGAGTACCTCCTCCATATGAAGTCCAGACTAATATGGCAG